GTTGAGGTGGGTTTGTACGCAATTATCGCCTCCCTCCCCCCCTTTCCCCCCTCCCGCCCCAAAGCTCTGGTAGTGGAAATATCAACCAACATAGTTGGTAGGGGGGGCGGGGCCTACTACTACTACTACTACTACTACTACTACTCCTGCTGCTGCTGCTGCTGCTGCTGCTATTACTACTATTTCTTCTACTACTACTCCTATTACCACTGTTTATCTGACTATCACTGGTAATGTCACTGCTGCTATTTCTTATTGTTACTAGTGCTGCTGCAATTACTACGACGCGTATTATTGCGATTCCTACCCCGACGATGACGATTTCAAGTCCAGGTATTGCCAGCACCGCTCTTGTTTTCCGGCACAACCAGGAGAACTCCATCGGCCTGCGGCCTGGTGTCCTTTCGACGCAGCAGGCTGCACGCGAGGCTCGGGGAGAGTGGGAGTGGATTAAGTCAAACTAATTCAGGTCACATGGAAAGTTTTTCAAAATTAGGGTCCCCGTATATACCCCCAAAGCAATCTAGCTGTTGTAAAAAGGACCCTCGCGCTAGCCCTATCCTGCGACATGGTCATTTTTCAAATGGTCCTGAATCAAATTCCAGTGTAAACTGAAGCTAAGCGTAGGGCCAGGCATGAGCTCATGCGAGATCGCTTTTGTTCTGGAATTTCAGGGACGACCTAAAAATATTTTCCACTTGCTATGCAAGAGTTCATAATAAGAGCCAGGCCCCTATCCACAGATACTCGGCGGACCAACCTGGGAATCATAGAGCCATGAAAAACATGTGTAGCAGCAGGCAAGTAGCCCAGGCAAACCAAGTTTGGTGCCTGCAGGCTTCAGACATGCGCATCCGGCCGCTCAAGCTAAACAACACACCGAGCTGGGGTGTTGCAACGTGTGGGTGTGGTGAGACCGTTGCCTTTTCAGTTTGTTCGGGTATCAAGCTCTCACCAGCGGATGGTGTGATTTTGTGATCCTGCATGTCTAGATGGATAGCCACTGGGCAAACGCCAGCTCCTGAAATAGCTACAGCCGCGGACAGGTTGCAGCTTTTTTGCTGGACCACAAGAAATTTGCTGGAGTACCGCCCACCACCTTGGTGAGCCCGGGCTTTGCCGTCGGCAGGATTCCTATTGCTATTCTGGGTAGGCTCCTGGGATATTTAATATTTTCCCTACAGCTTGAATAGGGGACCCTATATATTAAATTTGTTCAGAGGGTTTTAGGGGCCAACCCAGTATGATATTAGTGTCTTATTGTCATGCTTCGTGTTATGATGACAACTGCTATTACAATTAGTATGATTATCATTACCATTATCATTGCCACCACTTTCATGTAACGATTAATACTATAATGGCCTCATTTGTAGGTACACGCCAAGCATGAGAAGTTCGTCAACCCTGACAAGAACAAGGCCTGCGGGTGAAAACATGCTGCGTGTAAGGCTGTTGGAAGCTTGCTCAGCAAGCAGCTGGCACAGAGATGAGTTGCTACGACTTCTGGAACTTAACATCAGACTTTCAAATCCAACTAAATCGCGCTTGTATGCTTGAGGTATTCCCACCTTCTGTAGGGGATAGATACTTCCTTGGAGGGAACCCGTGAGAAGCTTCAACTTGCTACAGCCCTCTTCTGGCATGCTGGATGATCTTGACTGTGCAATGCCTCAAAAAGTACCTCTCGTGGGCCAGGTTGAATGGAAGATTGGAGCGTTACAGGAGTCTGGGTTGCTGTTAAGGAACTTATATTAAGTTACTATATTGGGGAAACCCTATTATTTACTATATATACCCATTATGGTAACTTAATTTAAGTTCCTCAACTGCAACCCAGGAGTTTGTGAATTCATGTGGCACCTCCGGCGACTTCGGGATGTCCGTGTGACCCGCAGTGCTTCCGAGCTGGTAGTTTCCCAAAATTAGGGGTACCCTTTTGAGGGTCCCTATAATAAGGACTATAGTATTTTTGGGTCTATATTGGGGTCCCCTTATTTTGGGGAAACTACTAGCTCAGCCCCTTTTGTGTCACCCGATCTCTTGTTGAGGTCTTTAGCGTTTCATCTGTGCATCGAATTGGAATTCTTGATGCAACGGCCTTAGGCATCCGGGTCAGGTCCGAAAATAGTTTGCAAATCAGTGCACATGCGAGTAGTATTTTAGTTGGGGGTGCTATGGTACCCAATATAGAGTAAGATCATATCCTCCTTCTGGGTAAAGTATTTTCTATAAGGGGATATAATCTTACTAGGTTCAACCACCAAAAAAAGCTACTCATGTTGTGAGGTCCGGATCGTGAATCTGGACAGGAATGATGGGAACCTCTTGGTTTCTGACAGCAAGAGGCGCGGCAGGAAGTGTTCAGAGCCTGCAGGTTGACTATGTAGTGAGGCTTGAATTCTACTGATATGGAGTTTAGACAGCCTTTTTGGAGGTACCTAAAAAAAATCATTATAGTATTTGGGGCCTTTATGGTAGTTTTACTAAATAAGGGGACCCCAACATGAACCCCCAATACTAGAATCCTTCGTATAGGGAGCCCTAAAATGGTCCCCCTAATTTTGGGAAACCCCCCTTAACCCTAAACCCTAAACTATAGACCCCTATATTGGGGTCCCCCCTTAATTTTGTGCTCTACAATCCTAATTTTGTGCACTACAATCCAGATTATAGTATTTTGGGGCCTAACCAGAAACCTTACTGGGGTCCCCACTTGATCGTGGGACAGCTGAACATGAGGCCGAAGCTCATTCCCATTGATCACGGCCTGTCCTTGCCAGACAGACTGGAGGTCGCGGCTTCAGACTTGGCTTTAGGATTTAGGGTTGAGGGACTAGGGTTTAGGATTCTGGTTTTCCAGCAATAGGGGAACTCAATACAGACCCCAAATACTATAATCTGTATTCTAGGTATTTCGAAAGGGTACTTCTAATTCTGGGAAACCCTAAACCCCAACCTAAACCCTAGATATATTCCACTGTATATACCGCTACATTATATCCCTCTTTATAGGTACCCCTAATTAGGCCTTACTTAACTTGTGGTTGAAAGATCCGAGCCCAGTAGGTGTATACAACCGACGTGGTCTGGATGGATTGGCCTCAGGCTGGGACTGCCTTCTCCTGCCATCATGAGCATTCATATGTTGTATTACTAGTGCTCTTATTATTACGATAAAATTAATAATGATTATTGTTGTTGTTACTACCGTTAGTACTAAACCTGCAAAAACAGGCGAAGAAGCCGTTTGACAAGCCAGAGCTGGACTACATCAGGCGGCCGCGGTGTTTCCCCTGCCTGCGTGGATCCTTTTTGTTGTGAACCCTAAACCCTAAACCCTAAATGAGGATGCTGGATCCGGAGAAGGACGCCAAAAACATTGAGACACAGCTCGGTGTTCGTCCGCACCCAAGCTCTGCTTCTCTCTTGGGTAGTTCCCAAAATCAGGGTCCCATTTTAATATCCCTAGGTACTGGGTGTTGTACTATACACTACAACCAAAAGGGGCCCGTGATTTTGAGAACAACCCGCATTGCCGGGTGTAGTAACTAAGAAGCGCCGATTTGCATGAGGACGGGAATGCCTGCGCCTGCTAGAAGTGCCGATGCCCAAGATATGACTGCTTGCTTGCCGCCGTTGCGCTAAAGCAAAGCCTGTGTAAAGGACCACGAAGTTGCTAAAGTTTGGTGCGGAGCGTGGGCTCACCCTTCACCAAATAGGCCAGGGCATGCCAGCGCACATGTGGGTGGTTGTCAAAATTATGGTCCTTTTTTGGATCCCCATTATAATACGGCACCTAATATTTGGGGTGCCCAAAAAGTGTGTTTTGCACTGGGAGGCTTCTAGTCATGCCTTGCAGGTTTAATTCTCTACAGGGAGGATCCAGATGATGGTGATGGCACGCACAAGCCGAGTCACACGGCAGCATGTGAACTACGGTCTGATTTCCTTAAGGGATGGTTGTATAGGGGGTTATGTAGGGGACTCTATTACAGATTAGGGGGAGAGACTAGGAGTTAAGACGATGGCTCCTGTGTTGTGATGACCATGCAAGATTAGCCTCAACAGCTTCAAGGCGTGCTGGAGTCGATCATTTCCAGATGTCTGTCACTCAGACCTCTTGCTCTAACCTAGAGTCGCTACCACAAAGGTACCCTATAACCCCTATACAACCCAACCCCTATAAGCCCTTTAAAGGTACTCTATAACCCCTAGATAATCCCGATAAGCAATTTCACAGCAATAGTCAATATTGGTGGTGTCATTATGACTAGCACTGGTACTACTGCTGTGTTACGCCTACTGGTACTGGTACTGCTACGGCAACTACGCGGCCGCTACCAAGTACTATACCAACTACCTATGACTGTTCCAATGGTTGTTGCAGCTTCTACTGTCTTATTCTGTTTCCTGTTGATGTTTTTAAGCGTGCTGATGCTGCGAAAGTCTTGTTATTATGGTTGCCAATCTGCGCGGGACTGCTTAGGGGAATGGAAAAGTTCCATGCTCCGTGATTACAGGGTCACGCGAAATCAGATCCAATGTTTCGAAGTTCGGAAGCCTCAAACTAAACCTTGAATTGTCTACAGAACATTGATGCGATCCCTGTCATTGTCCCAGATCATCCCTATAGCGTTCTTATATCATCCATGTACTGTGAAAACTCTGTGAAACATTCCGAGGCCATCCCTCATATCAGAATACATCCCTTTGCCCTGGAAATGTTCCTGTATCATCCTTTTGTTGGTGGAGCACATTCCTTTCTTGTCCCCTACGATCCCAATAGTAGAAAACAATGAGCAGTCACACCAGCTTATGAGGATGAGCACGGACTTGTGAGGTGTCGAGTCAGCACTGGCGGCCATTGGCCAATCTTCCCGCACGGTGCGCGACTCTTTTCTCCCCCTCTCAAAGAGTTGCAGGGAGGGTTTAGGGCTTAGGGCCTCCAATTTGTGTAGTATGCAAAGTGTAGTGTTGAGGCATTCGGGGTTTCTAGAATTATTCCCTACGTGAATGCTGATACTGACCTCTCTCAAATACATGCTTTTATCATCAGTCAATATCGCTAGGGTCCTCAGGGGCCTGCTTGCTAAGAAACGTCCACTTACAGGATCTACCGTGAGACGATCTGCTAGTGTGGAAGATGCGAGAACTCACATACTGTAGTCCTACAAAACTGTGTTTTTTTTTTTTTTT